GGCCTAAATTCCGGTAGTCCATTGAAAGATTGTATTAAACTTATTTGAAGGACGGAAATAAAATGTTAATTGTTTAGTCACAGTTTAGCCTTCAGCAACCTTTCCAAGGTAAATCCTATGAAATTATATAAACGTGACCAATCATTATTTTTGTTTTAATTTTACAAAGATAGAAAATTATTATTGTACAGCAGTATAATGGAGTAGATATAATGTTTTTACATCACATCTGATGACATTAATGGAGTATATATAATGTTTATTACATCACATCTGAAGAAATTAATGGAGTAGATATAATGTTTATTACATCACATCTGAAGACATTAATTGAGTAGATATAAAGTTTATATACCTTTTTTAAAACATTTAATACTTTACTAGATGTGACTAGTTTGATTTGTTGGTTTTTCTATTTAAAAAAAATTAAAACCTCATTTTTTACCTTAGCCTCGTTGTTCCCATTTCAGCCTCGGTGTTCATATCAGTGTTCTTATCAATCGAAAAGCACGATTGCTGGGGATGTGCAGGATTTGGCGGTAGGGGATGCTTGCGAGTCAACCACACCATGGTTGGGGCTGAGGTGCAAACATTTTGAGAATATGCAAATCTGGGTGGCTGGAAATTACACTCTCATACCAAGAAGCTGTTAGGCCTAGGGATGACCATACGTATTTCGGGAGAAAGTGCTGATAACTTGACAGAATTGGAGCTATTTAAGTGGTACCAAGATTCATTTTATCCCTATTGCTTATGATAAAATGTTGATATTTATTAACGGAATTGCCTAACTTTACTTGCGACATGTTTCTGCAAATAATTACAGTAACTTCTGTTATCCTACTTTTGGTGTCCTTATAAGGCTGTCTCTTATACACATCTAGATGTGTATAAGAGACAGGAATTACGTAGTTAGATACTGTTTTCTGATTGGTTGATGAAATGTCATACCCAGAAGGGCGCAGATCTGTTTTTTAAGGTTGAGGGGAGGACATTTTATGAGTCGGCACCTACCTCAGACTCACCATGGTTGGAGCTGAGGAGCGAAAATGTGAGGAAATAGTACCTCTAGCTAGATGGCCAGAAACAAAACTTTTAGTTACTTTTAGTTATATTATCACCGTTACCGGTAGTCCAAATGAAGCGCCAAAAAAAATCTCATGGTCTTTTTTATCAGGGATTTTCTGCAACCAAAAAGATCTTATTAATGTGTGTGATATACCATAGAAAACAAAGCTTAAGAACATTGTCTTTGAGTGTGTTCTTTACATACTTCAAAAGCGTGATTTCACAACCACCTCAGCCCCCACCTCAGCCCCAACTATGGTGGGGAAAATTTGAGGAAGTAGTACCTCTAGATGGCCAGAAATCACACTTTCACGTAGTAAAATTCATCATCATCACATCACCATTACAAAATGGAACGCCAACAAATTTCTCATGTACTTTAAATCAGGGATCTACTTGATATCCAGGACAACTTGACCTAACTATAATTTACTATATAAGATTTAACTATAATATTATCATCAACAAATCACAACTTTATTTTTTGCCTTTAGCACAATTTCCTTCACATTTTAATATTATTAATATTACTATCAATTATCATCATCACCATCATCATCATCATCATCATCATCATTATCATCATCACCACCATTATTATTATTATTATTATTATTATTATTATTATTATTATTATTATTATCATTATTATTATTATTATTGAATTGAATTGAATTACTATTATTATTATTACTATTATTATTATTATTATTATTATTATTACTATTATTATTATTATTATTATAATTATTATTATTATTATTACTAATAGTATAGTATTATTAAACAATAGGCCCTACTTTAAAGAAGTTTGCAAAAGGGTAAAAACCAAACTGAACCATACAGTATCACATTTCTGTATCTTAAAAGACTTGGCATGGGATTTATGGATTTTTAAAAATCACGCTTAGACATGTGTTATAATTATAGTAGGCCAGGCCTATGTAAAACGAGTACTGATGCATTTTTACGTATTTTAGAAGTATTCATTTTGAGTGGTCCCTGAAAATAATTTGTATTGGCTCCAAAAAAAGGTTTTAAAATTTTACACTGTGTACAAAGGGGGTGGGGGGAGCCGCGGCTCCCACGGCTCCCCCCCCCCCCTGGATACGTCCCTGACTGTAGGTGTCATAATCATAATTTTATTATCTCAGCTCAGCCACAACTATGGTGGGGATGACGTGGTCTATTCTTCCCATCTGTGAAAGTCCCTCCCTGGGCCCGCCCCCACCATTTCGAATTCTTGGCTCCGTCACTGAGTTGACATTTGCTGTTGCCTAGGCACTTTATATTTTCTTCATGTATCATTTCACATTTACACCTTACACATTCAACTTTAGGTAAGTATAACAGAATGGAAAGATGTTGTAGGCCTACTCTTTAATGCATATGAAGTGCAGTTGTTTTTTAGTCGAGAGTAGGCCTGATTAAGTTTACTTTAGGTTGTCCCTAGGTTTTTGTTTTTGTTATAGTCCAGTGTACTTTTGCCTGGAAATAATAAATGAAATTAGAATAAAATCTTGTGATAGGACATGATGGGACTAGGACCCTGGGATTGAAAATGCACGCATGTTAACCACCAAGCTACAGCATACTGTAATAGCTCAACATGTTGTAACTCCCAGAACTGGAAAGGTAGGAGGTAAAGGTAGGTAAGAGGATAACCCATAACTTACAGCGTAATTGTGCTAATGCGTATGGGCGTGGTCCGTGACTACCTAGCAGCCGTAAAGAGTCGCTTCATGGTAGCTACATGTTCACATGTCATTCCAAAACGACAGGGGCTGAAATGAACCATAACCCCCTACTCTTGCAAACGATGCAATGGGTTCACACCCACAAAGTTCACAAAGTGCACACGAGCCAGGTGTACACACTGGACCTCCATTTTAAGTCCTTATCCGACAAGAAGCTACCACATCAATCTAAATCCAAGTTCATTCCCTAATTAATACATGTTCCTTGTATTCAAACTCATATAGTAGAGTAGTGGCTTTATTTAAACGTATTTTGTGTACAATTCATTTTAATTAATTAAAAGTAGTGTCATGGAAACAATGACAACGTTTGATCACTTTCAAACGGCTTAAAATACTTAGATCGCCGGAGATCAGGCAACAAAAACAGCCTAACCAACCACGCACTTTAGTAAAGGCATGTTTATACTTCAACGATAACGATAACGAAAGCTAAAAAGCAATTGTTCATATAGAAAATAAAAGAAAAAAGAGAAGTTTTTACACTAGAACGTCTTGCGCGATCTTGCAAGTTCATTGTCACAACCGTTGATTTAAAACTGCAGTTGTAGTATGCCTAGGCCTATTCATTTTTTGTTTGAGTAATGAAATACTGTATTTGTGTGCACATTGAAACTCAAATTGTACGTGCGTTTTATTAAAATTATATTCGTTTATGTGCCAACAAAAACTCCCTGAAAAATCGTTTTAAAACAGCTTAAAAACGCTTAGATCGGGGGCCCAGTCAACTGGTGTAGTCGCTCACGGATTTCAAATCTCTCAGGTTGGTAAATATGGAAAGGGTGATAAATTCGTTTGTAGTTCACGGGTGCGGTGCTTTACTTACTTTATCAGGGGTCCCAGATTGGAAGAATCCGTTCCGGGAAATCTTGTTTTCGGGCGTCTAGAAAACAAAAACTTTGCAGGGGCATGCCCTCGGACCCCTAGGAGTGTTGTCTCGATTAGCCCCACTTTCGGCCCCTTTCATCCCCTTGTGGACATCTCTGGATCCGCCCCTGAATAATATGAATTTGCGGGAGGTGGGTTATTTTCCGGGAGATGGGTTATTTTCCGGGAGACTTGCTTGCTTGCTGGTGTGCGGGCGGCCGTCCCGATTTCTGGGAGACTCGGGTCCCCTGCTTTATGAACAATGGTTTTCTTTTAAAATTAGCGTACACTCAATTAATTTCTGCCTCCGAGAAAAAAAATGGCTTGCGTTGGGTATGCCCTCAACACAGAGATAGATGAATTCGTCGTCTCCTGCCAGTGTGTGATAGGCTTCGACTTTAAACAATCAATCATTAAACAATTTTAATCCAATTATTGTGGGGTACACTAATTACACCCACACCTCCACCACTGGACACACAGTCACCCAATACAGAGAACCACATAAAAACAATTTACAGTTTGATTGATTTATTTTCTAAAGAACTTCAATCTTAATTTATAAAATTCTAATTAAATACTGGTTTACACATTTCACACAATGACTGTGTGGCAAAGATTGTTGTACTTAATATCACATAATAATACAAAGTGGACGAACTATCATTATTAGTAATAATAATAATAATAATAATAATAATAATATAATAATAATAATAATAATAATAATAATATTTATAATTATGTGTTTGATTGGTTGATACTAGATTTTATACTGCGAGGCTGAGTATAGTAGAATAATACTCATTTCTAAAGAGAGAAAATCAGCTTCTGGTCATCTGACGCATGTACCAAAACATCACGAAATGCAAATACTATACTATGTGAGCAGATGCCGGTAAGCATTCTTATGGCTAAATATGGGTCCTGCATAAAGTAATGCCTTTCAATGGTATTTGCTGTGTGACATAAATTTGCTTGGCAGTGGAGAAGACATCACTACAATACAGCAAGTAGGACTAACTCCTTGATATTACCAAGGATTTTGTGCAAAAGTGTTTCAATATGGACATCATGATATAGGTCATATTCAGGGCAAATGAATAGCTATCAATTTTAATGATGTGGTCTGAAAATGAACATATGCTTAGAAACATCTGGACGCAATGCACACAATACGGATAGAGCAAAACAGTTGCAATGATTAATGGTATATTTAGCAACATTGAGCATTGAACAATTTCTGAGAAATCTAATTTATTATTGATAACTATGTGGATTTATACACATCTTATATATATATATATATACATATATATATATATATATGTGTTAAATTATATTAAGTTATATATGTATTATTTCATATTCCATAGGTATTTATTGTACATAATAATATGGAATATAATGTAATTTCAGTTTTGATTGGTTGAATACCCATGCATACATTACCCTTTATCACACCAGCTGTTTTGCTCTTTAATTCATTCATAAAAATCTGTTAATTAGTTGCCTGCACGTGTCATCATAATATAGTGCTGGCGTACTATAATTTGATGCATATTCACCTTGATATATTTATTTATCTAATAAGTATGGTGGCTCAGAGTAGCCTGCACAATATTAAGCCCTTTCCAAGCTATCAAATTTTGTGACATTCCTAAATATGGTCATGATGACATCACACATATAGGCCATATACAGGCACATCATGACTATATATGGGCACATCATGACTATATATGGGCATACAACAGACTTTTGTTAAGTAAATTAGATAGTGTGGACAGAGCTTCAATTTGGCTTTAGAAAATTATTCAATTTTTATGGGATTCAAAAAAACTTGAATCTCAACTGAACTTTCAAAAACATGTGTTTCAAAAATTGTTATTGTCTACTGCGGTCTTGAGAGACACAATGCTACAGAGTTGAAAGATCATGTTTAATTGACCCTGTTGGCTACTTTGAGTGCTGATTTAAGTCCCAATGGTTAATAAAGTGTTTCCGGGCATTTTAGTGCTTGACTTACTTATTTATCGGTTACCTACCCTTGATTCGAGACCGCAACCTAGAAACTCCCTAAATGCAATCAGACATGATATTTTTAACCCCCTATACTGCCAGGTGCAGATTCCTGTCACCTTGGTGCTGCTTTCCCAAAAAAAAACATATTTAAAGTAAGCAGTATGCACATGTTCCTGACGGGAGCATATTTTCTACCTATGAATCACTGTAAACTTTTATACTATTAATTAAATCGATTCATTAACACATATACATACTACATTAATTTTGTTATATAAATTTAAAGAAAAAATATAGGTATATAAAGGATTACATATGTTTTCCTGTCTAATTAAACATATGTATTTAAAATACTATAATACTAAATATTTTGTGCTTGAACTATCTGCAGCACTTTACTCTGAAGCTTTTAGAGATAACTTAAAATGCACCAAGAAGGATGAATGTTTATTCAAAGGCTTAATGAGACCATGATGAGACTACATTTATTCAAGGACCTATCAATAAAAATCATGAACCTTATGGTCCATGGTTTTTGTTTTTTTTGGATATTACATGTGAAGGAACATGTGAATGGCAACTTTTTAACACAGCTGATTTTCAGGCACATTAACATGATCTACAGTTCATTGTAAACTTAATGGTGACAAATATTGGTATACAGCAAGTGCGTGACTTTTTAGTTAGAAAAGGGGACAAACGCATTCTTGTAATTTATCCTCAATTTTTCGTACTTTCATTCATTCCTTCAGAGAGATGCTGTTGTTCACCGGCTTATGCCACAATATAAATCCTTCCTAACTCCACCTCGTCTTATCACATATATGGTTGAAGTTCCTATTAAATGGAGGGAAAGAAAAAACAGAATACAAGAGTGAATTATCATTTATTTCATTAATTATAGTTTAGAAAATAGGTTATATACAAAAGCAAATCTCTAAAAAACCCACAAGAAACATTGACATAGATCTGGCTTTTCTCACGCTAAGTCAAAATCACACACAAAAAAAACAATTGTCAACAGGCTTTCCTTACTTTGTAAAAATCTCACCAACAACAATGACACCCACAAAATCATTGTAAACAGGTGTCAGTTTGCTTTCGCCACAAAAGTAAAAAAAACAACAAAAAACACCACAATTGGACACACCTACACTTGACACAAGTCTCTAATTTATTGATTTTTCCTAGTATTACCAAATTTCGGAGAGCGCCACCAGCGTTGGTTTATGTCGAAAAACTTGTTATGTTGTTGAATGCTATTTGGATGCGAAAATCCAAGTCCCAATAAAAGTATACAATGGAACGCCATGCAAATAAGTAATATGGAACACCATTGGTGCCAAAATTGATGTATTTTTAAGCACTTTCACTGAATAAGACAAAGCTACTGGAACTCAGTCTAGGACACACCTTACAAAGTCAAATACAATGGAAAACCACCAACACCACAAATAAATTTTTAATGCATTCTACTGTACTTTCAAAGACAACACCAAAAACCACAAAAAAAAAATGTCAATGGGAACTCACAAAGCAGAATATAACATAAATCAAAACAATTTACGATATAATCATCATTGTCACACAATGGAAATATAAGTTACTGGTGGCAGTGCCATTTTTACTGGTACATGTGCACAGAGATAATCACTGGCAAGTAATATAAAAGCATATTTCGGCTCAGCTTAGTGTTTAGAGTGCTCTGCCATTAGACTACAAAAAAAAATGATTCAGAAATTATAGTATCAATCATGGACTGATTCAGCATTTCCCTCATATACTGAATACATATCAAAATAAATACAAATATAAACAACATACAGTTTGAAATTTAAAGTCTTATATACTGCTTTGCATTTCATATTTACATACACTATTAATAACTTGGGCTCCAAATGATCAGCTCAAAAAAAAAATGTGTAATTAATTACTGTAATTTCCGGTCAACGCATGTTATAAATAAAACACTACTGTACTTAAAACTTAAAATTAAACACATAAATCAGATTGGACTCCCTGCAGTCTGGTGGATTGTCAATAGAGGAAGCAATCTCACTTTGAAGGCTCTACAAAACGATTAGTCACAGAAGGAATGAGGAAACGGCAATAATCTATTCTCCATTTAATCTGCACTGGAGATATGCATGGAATTGCATAGTATTAAAACCTAATATTATCATTTATTATTATATTACTACAATTATACATTTAATTATAACAAAGATGAAGAGTTATGGATCTGCATTTGTCCAGATTGTATTGGTTTCAAACAATTGTATCTGCATAGCCTTAAATTAAGCTGCTATTGTATTATACCTTTTAAAGTCAAAAAAAAAAAGAAAAAAAGTTTAACATTTTTTAGTTAGGAAACTTTAGTTTCAATTACGCTGATGGTAATGGATGTTGTTCAGGTACTCCGAATAAAAATGTGGTATTTCAAAATTTTAATATATGTCATAAAATTTATATATACCTCATACATAGATTCTAAGCATCTGATTGGTTAAGTAGCAATACTACCCTCAAAAAGTACTATTCCCCTCAAAAATAGTACTTTTTTTGACCTGTCGCGATGTGCAAAGACCCACTACATCGCGCTGCTGATGGTAAAGAGGACTGACACCTCTATTATCCCCTGACCGTGTCACGGATCAGCGAGTAGATGATATGGAGGCTGCTCGTTTCGAGATGATGGAGGACAAGCCTAGGCCTAGCATTCTTCTTGATGAAGCTGATAGCAAAAGCACCAAAAGACAAATTAAATATGTCTTATCAATATTCGACAAATATATTGCAAGACGATGGGTTCTGTTGAAATTGAGGAAATAAGCAAAGAAGAGCTAGACTAATTCTTTGATCGCCTATCCTAGGCCTAGGGCCTAGCTAGTCGAGAAGTAGTAGTAGGCCTAGTATGCCAGGCTAGGGAGTAAGTACTTTTTTAGGCCTCGTAGAATCTATGTATGAGGTATATAAAACAAATATTAACTGCTCTATAATCGGGGAAAAGTGAAATCTATTGCCCCTCGGTGATCACCTCGGGGCAATAGATTTCACCATTCCCCTCATGAGCAGTCAATATTTGTATATTATATGTTTTTTATTAAGTAGGGCAAGTCAGTGCAGCATAAGGGGATTGGACTCTAGTGCTAGACAGACTGTAACAATAATAATATCTAAATTTAACCACAGAAACACTCAATTCAACAGTAAAATTCCCTTAAAAACATTACAAAACTATTCTTCCTCAAGTTCATGGACACCAAAATTATCCGATAAAAATAAGGAGTGTTCTGCAGCTCTGGAAAAAAAATTGGCAGTGATAACCATGTGTAAAGGAAATGTTTATTGACTGACCTGGCATGGTGTGGCCTGGTAAACTGTGTTCTGCATTCAACTCCCCAATGACAGTTAGGCCTACTTGTTACATCATCTGCAAAAAGGGAAAGAATAAGGGAAAAACAATTATTCTGTAATTACAACAAATTGAGTATCAAATGGCAATTGAAAGATCAGGTAATAAATAATAATCATTCAGGGGAACATATAAATGTAGGGATTTTGTTTCATTACACAGTAACTGTTCCTTATGTATAAGTAATCAAATCCCAAAGGATATATTTTTGTTATGAAATGAAAGTTCAGGAAGGTTAAAGATTATTTAAAAAGTTTTTAAGTGCACTTTAGAATTCTCTTGATCGACAGCATATTTCCAGTATATCGCATGCACACTGTGTATTGTAATTTGTACACATACAGTAGTCTGAATTCATACAAATGTACAGAATCCTTACTATATACATCCGGGACACAGGGTGGTTTAGATGTGGGGGGGGGTCCAAAAACAGCTTGGGGGTGCGAAAAATTGAGAATGCAGAACTAAAAATCCATATTCCAATGAAAACTTAATGGTAATTTTTAGTATTATTATCCACTCACTAGATTTGCTGCCCTGGGGCATATAATGCTAATGAAAGTTTAACCCCAAAATACTAGCTTACTGTAGTGGTATTAGTATCTAGATAAGTAATATACAAGTAGTAACCCTTGTAGCTTAGTAATAATGATGATAGTGGTAGTAGTATTAGTAGTAGTTGATTCGATGAGAATGATATGCACTTCACAAGAATAATAATACTACGACGACAAAAAAACAAGAAATTAATCATTATTCAAGCCATAAAAACTAATCCTATACGCAATTCTATGGAGAACACAACCCCACGATGTGTGCGCAACGGATAGTTTTTAATGACGATTCGTTCAGACTGCCACCGACAATCAGCAGACAGTAGGGAGTGGTATAACGTTCACAGGAAGCGGAGTTGGAATCATCGGCTGACGGACGTATGGCCGTCATGCAACGCAATGAGTGCCTGGCTTTAAAACCTCGCAGTAGCATATTGAATGTAAAAGTTGTATTTTGTACAGCTGTTGCCATTGTGAGTGTGTTAAACCATAGAGACTATTTTCAAACTGCTGATTCCTAGTTCAATCTGGGCTCTCATTGTGTTTTAGCTTGAAAGCCAAAATGCATTTTCCGCACCGTCTTTCAGATGCAAGCTGTTGGTCTTATATGGCCCATGTGCATGTGTTATGGAACGTAGTACACTCTTCGGTAAAGAGAGAGGGTACGTTACCTGGAGCACAATCAGAAGAACGCCACTGAAAATAATTCTTCAGACTTCAGTCTTTTTTTGTGATTCAAGCCAAAAAAAAATTAAATCAAATTCAACAGTTGGCCATTAACTCTATGGAGCTCAACTGCCCCCTACAGACTAACAAACATTAATTGAAAAACAATCTTGTTTACACAGGTGAACCTCTTCATGTTGACTGTAATCAGTCACCTGAAAAAGTTTTCAAGTTAATAAAGGTTTATAAATCTTGCTAATTTTCATTTTATCTTTGGTAATATTTTAACATAAATTAATTTAAATTTAAATTTGTGTTATATTATTATATTTTTGATAGTTTGATTAAGTACAGTATTGGAGAGCCAATCCGATGTTTTACACTTTTGGTAATTCCCAGCGTAGGCCTACAATTCCAAAGGTAGGCCTACTGTTTATTTTTCAACTAGAGCTTTACATGGACATTGAATAACTCCAAGCTATAACCCAAACTATAGTATGGGGATCTCTGAACAGGGATTTATAATCATGTAATCAGGCCAGAACCAATTGAGTGTCATCCATCTCTAGACGCAGATGTTTCTTATACTGATAGAACTAGAAAAAGACTAGTTGGCAAGGAATAGAAAAAAGGGGAATCAAAGAGAACAAAACAAGCAAGTTCTAATTTGCTGGTCCTACAAAAATGAGTTAGTCTGTGAAGTACATTCCAACTTGCCCATAGGAATGTAAAAGAAATATTACATCAAAGTATACAGATAAAGATAGAAATAAATTGTCATTTCAAAAAGGAATGAGATTGATTTTAGCAGTTCCCCAAATACTTACTGGGCAACATTCTCTGCGGTATATCCTTTCGATACAAATATGCCAATTCTTTAAAAACTTTTAAGCCACAAACATAGCAAAATACACTGGAACTTGTAGTTTGATGGTGCATTTGAGAAGGTGGCCTGTACCGATTTGAGTCCATTCTACGTAAACACTGTTGAAATAGCTCCATGTAGCTTATATTTTGGTCTTGGATATAATTCTAAAAAAATACAAAAAAGTTTGTAAATATGATTTTTGAAAAGAACACTGAATTTCTAATCAAATCTATACTTATTTTAATTAAATACCTATTTTAATCAAAGTAAAATACAATAAATTACAATAATAATTATAATTAGATTAATCACACATTTAAATAATAATTATATTATTAACAATAATAATAATAAACAATAATGATAATTTGATAACAATATTGATACTACTGACTACAGCACTCATGAAAATATAACATGAATAATACTAATAACAATCAATAAATATATTCATAAAGGTAAAGGTAGAAGAATAGCCCATAACTCGCAGCGTCATTGTGCTGAATAACAACAATCGAATAAAAATACAATTTAATCTAGTCAATATTTGTATAGCATCAATTAAAATCTAGCTTCCTATGCAGCAGTCGTTAAGAGAGAGGTCATTATGTACAAAATGCAACCACCTCCTTCAACGTCTCTATTAGACTGAGGGAGGACATGCATGGTTGGGTTTTTCACATCAGCAAAAACAAGTGAAAAAATTATAGAATACAAATAAAAAAAAACAAAAAAAAAAAAACCATTGTTTACTAAACAGAACAATAATAATAGTAATGTTCTGTTTAGTTTTTGGGATTTTTTGGGGATTTTGCATAGGACAATATCTTTAATAACGATGAATAAAACACCTACAGTTGTATAAAAAAAAAAGGAAAAATATCTACATTAACTTAAAAAATATATACATATATATATTGACATTTATTTGTGTTACTGATTTTTTTTTTTTTCATTGTTATAAGTATTTTTGTTATTGAAAATGGTTGTAATACCACAAAAGGGAGAAACATTAGTGAATGTCCTTCATGGTATTGAACGTGCTAATCAACAAACACACCTTTTCCTTACCAATGCACATTTCCTACTCCAAGGTAAAAAGAATAATAATAATAGTAATGAAATACTGTAAAATAATTTAAATGAGAATAGAACAATAAAACCACAAATTTACTTGATTTTTTTTATAGTGCTATAGCAGAGACAATACAAAGCAAAATACAGGTTTTGATTTTTTTTTAAATATAATGGGAAAGAAATTGATACTATTCCAAATTCTGTCTTAATAATAATAATAATATGCATAATAATAATTTACATTAGCTAGATTTTTTTTAAATGACTAAATTAAATGGTTAGTACATCAAATAATTGCAATAAAGGAAATGCAGACAATTTGTGTCGCTTCAGGGCGGGTGGGCTGATTTCAGAGCTGATTTTTGTGACTGTTTTGGGGAATTTGCATAGGACAATATCTTTAATAACGATGAATAAAACACCTACAGTTGTATAAAAAAAAAGGGAAAATATCTACATTAACTTAAAAAAAATATACATATATATATATATATTGACATTTATTTGTGTTACTGATTTTTTTTTTTTTATTGTTATAAGTATTTTTGTTAATGAAAATGGTTGTAATACCACAAAATAGAGAAAAATTAGTGAATGTCCTTCATGGTATTGAACGTGCTAATCAACAAACACACCTTTTCCTTACCACTGCACATTTCCTACTCCAAGGTAAAAAGTACATACTGTACTTCAAGCAGTTCATGATGTTTATCAAGTTTAATTGTTCTTCTATACTTTTTATAATTCATTATTTAATATGCTTAAAATTTTAATAATTTAGAGTCCTTTTTTTGTATGTTGATGTATTTTATGTTTTAATATTGTATATTAATAACAACAATTAGGCTCATATGATAATATTAATCAGGGTCGTATCAAGAATAGCAGTTGGGGGTATTTATGTATTGTGTATAGAGAGAAATCAAATAAATTCAATCAGTTAATAGGTGCAGAGGTGTGCAAATATACACATCTAGATGTGTATAAGAGACAGGTGGTATAACGTTCACAGGAAGCGGAGTTGGAATCATCGGCTGACGGACGTATGGCCGTCATGCAACGCAATGAGTGCCTGGCTACCAATATCTCTATCCACAGCTACAGGATTTTAAAGTTAGTTGAGGTCCGACAGAATTATCATATCAACTCTAGCCTCACCATAGTTGGTAAACAACTTGTTTGGCACCTATGAATGTCCAGAAATAGATGCTGGCAAACTACAGCCGCTTTCCATTCCCCTCAAGGGGCAGCCACAGTATATAATGTTAGCATGGATGAGAGTCTATGTTGGAAATAATGGCACCTCTGGATGCCATGAAATAGCAGCTGGTAAAGCTGTAGAAAATAATATTGTTAAAAATTTAATTTTTTACCATTGCCATAAGTAGATAAATTGAGTTGATTATTCCTCCAGAAGAGAAAGAAACATGAATACATATATAATGCATAAACCAAAAATGACTATAACATACTGTAATTGTATTTACACGATGTGGAGGGTATTTAGCTATGAAATATACACAATATGCAATAAATAAAACACAGGATACTTTTTGCCACACAAATGGACCTGCAGCCTACAAGTTATGAACATAGGCCTACTACTCGTACAATTTTAATTAAATTTTCTTGCAAAGTTCAGCCTGGAACATTAATAAGTTATTGATCACGCTCTAAAAGTTATATACTATCACTAGAATTGTAAAAAAAAAAAAAGTTAAGTGCTGTGTTTGCTTCTGGCAGGTCTTATACCGATTACACATTAATTTTAGTCAACCTTCGGTATATTCATGCAGACAGACCATGCACGTATACTTCCATGGAGAGATCTACCCTGGTAATAAATAAATAACAGAGTACTAGCATTAGGGTGATCCAGTTAGTGAGTGGAGAGGGGCACAATGCCGCTGAATCATTTTTGAAATTAACTTGCCCATTTTTTAATTAACATAAAAATTATCATTTTTTTAAAAATTATAATTATCCAGTTTAAAAATCAGGGTACACATTTTAGAAATTTAATAATTTCTTTGCTCAAGTTAAAAATATGTATGCTACTGCAAAAATGAACAAGTTAATTTCAAAATTATTTTTATATTTTTTTTCATTTTCAAGAGACAATACATCTTTAAACCTTGTTTACCTTGATGCCCAAAAAAAAAAGTGAATTAATGATGATCATAATTATGATGAGGGGATGATGATAACAATGACGGTTATGATAATGACTACGATGACAATAATGATGACGATGATGATGTCGATGGCGATGACGTCGACGATGATGATGAACGGTAATGATGTTGATGTAGGTGTTGGCATGTTTGAGAGTGATGGAGAAACTAATGCAGACTAAAGTGAAGTGAGTTTAATCTGGAATCAAACCGAAAAAATTCCCCCGGTCAGGGTGCAGCGGGTCCAGGATAAAAGCCCCTGGAAAAATCAGCAGTTTTGATTTGGTAGAGTCTAATTTAGCTATGCTATTTTAAGTCTTATAATAGGCCTAGTAGGCCTAATAATTCCAGAAAGCAAGCGATCCTCCGACTGAACTCCAGGGACTAGAAAGCAGTGGCGGTGCCAGCAGGGGACAGGGGGATTAAGTCCCCCCACCGGACAGGTCAAGCCCCCCTCCCCCGCTGGACAGAGCTCGTCGGGCAGTCAGACCATAAAACATATAAAAATAGGCCCACACCAAGCCAATACATGTCTGTCACAGTCTAAGAGTGCCATTTCCAGCCATCCAGAGGTTCCTATTCTTAAAGAAAATCTCATTTGGAAGGGGACCCCCTTCTCAGCCCCTTCTCCAGCTCGAGCCTACGACAGCAACATACTTAGCTCACCCCTCTCCCCCGGAAAATATATCCTAGAGCCGCCACTGCTAGAAAGCCCTGAACAAAAAGTTGGTTGTTGTTCTCTTTATATATCAATAAAAATGTTTGGATTTAATCTATTTATCTTTGCTTTTCATCGCACTGTAATGGCTAATTCTCTTGAGTAACACACCCCTTTACAAACCTGGCCATCCTCAACCATCTCTCGTCCGACGCCACGACGAGGTTGTGAGACTAAACTAATCTTTAAATCCAATCAAGCTGCGGTTGAAATTCCCTAATATTGTGGTCTAAAAGTATAAATTGTGGATGCCCAAAAATCTCATCTGGCAATCCCCCTGCCCCCTCAAGCGGTAAAGTTGGTGCATAAATTCATACCTGTAAATTTTGAAAAAGTGCTGCAAAGCAACTACCCCTATTCCAACCCCATACAGGAACAGATACAAGATTGAAAGTTAGTGGAAGTGGGCTAGATACTGTACCCTCTATCTCAAGTTATAGACTGCTGGTTAAAATATAAAGATTTAACATTTTCTTTTAATCTTTATTAAAAAAAACCAAAAAAAACCCAATTTTTTATATAGTACATTCGACGTTTTAATATTAGATGTAATAAATTTTAATTCAAACAGGATCTGAACTTTAGTTTACTAGCAATTGTAAGTATTCATAAACTGTAAACACTGTAAATATAAGGTAATCATTTCTAGAGTTCATTGACACCAGATCCAAAAAAAACAGTCTATTTCATTAACACTAGTAAGCAAAATTTACTTATTTACAGGAAATTGCACAATCAAAAGCCTGTGGCTGAAAACCAGTTGACTACAAATGCCTACAGCAGCTTTAAACTGTGTCAGTGGTACCGTGGAAATTGTTTCATGGTCACAAATTGAAAAGTTTAAGTACTTTCCTTTACAGGATACAGAATACATTGTTTGTACTAGTTTTATCTAGACCATGCATTAATCCGCCACATCATTAATTAGAATTAAGGAATATAGGATATAACGTAATACTATAGATAGTATTGTAAATTATTATTTCTTATCCATGACAGGCAATGAGAGGCATATTTCAATTATAAATAATTACTTTGCTATTCTAATGGTAGGAAATATAATAATATACCCATGATATAAGATATATACTAAAGCAAATACATTTAAGTAAATGAAAGTGAATTTTGTTTTAATATTGTATAATATTTCTGATGCGACTAAATATATTCAGTCCTTGGATATTTTCTATGAGTGTAATAAAACCAAAACTGAATTAAATGAAATTTAGTGACAACTATATTAATATCTGATTTACAATTGCACTATCAGACAGTGTTTATAAACAAGATAAAAAAAGAAATATTTATCCTTTCCTATTATCAAATTTAAAACAATTTCTGTTTTGGTTATTTTTTCCTACAGACTCTTAAGGCCATGTCCAGGCTATCAAATTTTATTTGACAAAAACATGTGATATGCCTAAATATGGTCATGATGACATCACATCATGACCATATGAGGCATGTTGTGGCGAAATGGTTAAGCTGTCACACAGTCCAGTATTGCGTAAATGAGCTATCAAATATGGGAGCTCAAAAAATTGCCTAAAAATCCAAATTTGTTTTTCACTATAGATCAACAGTTGAATGTCTTATTAATCATGTCCCAAAGTGTTAGTTCTAGAAGTGGTTAACAAATTGTTTATTTAACGTTATTTTTCATAGTCCATTCTATTAAACAATGTATGCACAATTAACTTTGAAAGGCAATTACTCAAAATCATGTTTATCTTAACCCTAAGTGTACTGTACTTTCACTTTCCAATAACCTAGACTTGAAATGTCCAATTTGAATGAATGACCCCTCATTTTAAAGATCACATACTCAGGTATCTGAAAATACCAATAACTTGAATTTCAATTTTTGCTACAACTTAGCCATTTTGCCACAACATGCCTCATATATAGGCACATGATGACTATATATGGGCACATCATGACCATATATAGGCATATCATGACTATATATGGGCACATCATGACCATATATAGGCACATCATGACTATATATGGGCACATCATGACCATATATAGGCACATCATGACTATATATGGGCATGCAGCAGTTTATTGACAAATAAACATAAATAGTCTGGATAGGACTTTAAATTTAGCTGTTAATGTATAAGGCTCCAAGGTCTGTTACTCAGCAAAAAAAAAAACTGACTGATTTGTTAAAGAAGAAAAGCCAAATGATTATTATTGCAACCACGGCCTCATTAATATTGCGAGCACGGCCTAATTCATATTGAAATCACGGCCTAATTAATATTGGTTTTACTCATGGAGCTTAACTCATGATAAAAGATTAACTTAATCTCAATTATTCATTTTCAGCAAAACAGTGATCCTCGTATATGTATTGTTATTAATATGGTAATGAATTTTAGGCTGTTCATCATTTTCTATTCGATAATAAAATTTAACAAGACGAAATTGAAACAACAACAATAATAATAACAATGACACAACACTATTATTAATATTGTTATTGTTATTATTTCAGCTACTGTGTTTGTTTTGACTTTTGGTTCCTAGTACAAAAATGCCTCTATTTTTGTTCTGATTTTGGCATTTTCTGATACAACAAAAAATACCATTGTTTTAGATCTGATTTTTTTTCTTCTATTAACCAGTTTCCCTACGTTTTTGAATGCAGAGTTTTTCTACCTTCTACTTTGGTCAGTTTCCAGGCTTAGGTCTCTCTTATATTTTTAATATTGATAAACTGCTAAACAAAGTCTGTTAACACAATGTATTTCAAATTGTCACAGCTTGAGATTTCTTAAGTGTTTCAAATTTACCATGAAATGTATTTAAACAAACTTTGCCTTTAACCTACAAAATGTGATGATTGTGCCAGACTACTGACTGAAAAATCACAAGCCTTCACAGGGTTGGGTTTTAGAGCTTAATGTTTGGAACTATGCACTTTACCTCAGTAGCAACGTATCATGGTAGTGTCAATATTGTTTTAAATATAAGTTTAGATTTACTTCATAAACATCTGTTTTCATTATTTCAATGAGCAAAAGTGCTATGTTCCGTTTTTCAACCAGACATAAACTGTATCTAGCTTTCATTACCAGTGTATAATAGTAATTGTTATTGTCGTGATGGAATAATAGACAATAACTGGATTTGCGTCAGGAGAAACATGTATAGGTGTATTTTTTTTTTTTTGCCCTGCGTCAGAATTTTTTTTCACAGTTGTTTTCAAATGTACTGAATATTCGGTACATTTCCACGTCAAGTAGGGCAAAAAAAAAAAAAAAAAAAACCTATACATGTTTCTCCTGACGCAAATCCAGTTATTGTCTATTATTCCATCACGACAATAACAATTACTATCAACACTGCAGTACCCGCTGCTTACTTGGACTTGAATTCAACCCTGGCCATCAGGCGCAAGCTCGGTGGTCTAGAGGTATGATGCCAGGCTAGTGATCTGGAGATCGTGGGTTCGAGTCCCAACCGAGAACAACTTGCGATTTTTTTCGCAGTTGTTTTCAAATGTACTGAGTATTCGGTACATTTCCACGTCAGGTAGGGCAAAAAAAAAATACACCTATAGTGTATAATAACAGTAATAATGGTGATAACAATACCAATTGTTAGAAATTACAATATCAACTGTTAGAGAATCTAGAATATGCAAAATATATGAAAAAAACTTACCATAAGTATTTCAGATTCATATGGGTTATTGTTTACCAGGTTTCTTGTACAATCTTGACTGAATTTCAGATCTAAGGACAAATATGAAATATAAATCAGGTTTAGAGGCATAAAACTCTCTCTAGTAAATTCAACTGAGACACCAACAATTATGTCTACTTCTCACAGTTCTGTGAATAAATAACTTGTTGGGTTTTTTTTTGTAACTTTTTGTTAATTTTAGCCCTTAGCCAGAAGCATCAATTCACCCAACCTTGATTATTTGAGGAAATAAAAGTCATTGGATCATCACCATCATCATACCACAACCATCAACACAAACATCATCACCTTTAATACCACCAACAGCACCACCATCATCATCAACAAAAGCATCATCACTAGCCAAACCAACAACACATCATGTCTAACACCATCAGCATCAATACCACCATCACCACTACTATTATCAAAACCATCACAATCACTTGTGTTTATTTACCTTTGAGTTGGTTGAGGCAGCCTAGGCATTGAGGCTTGAAACAGCCCCAGTACATGTGACAAAAAAAACGGTTACAGTAGCTACCTGAAATAAATACAAGTTAAACTACCATTTACACTTCAACATCAAGAACATTTGATTGTTTTATTTTTTACTGAAGTTTTTTATTCTTAATTATGGAAATTATAAAATGAAAATAAGATGTAGGATAACTTTGTCTTTGCTACATCATACTGCAGCTGTTCAGTATTTTATTTGCAGTTTACACTTGCCCACTCTCACCCATAATGTACGAGTCTCACAAAACAACATCCAATTTTTACGTTTCACGCCTACGTTGTATTATCTCACACATCATAAACATTTTATAAAATATAAATGTATAGTCCGATTATGCCCTAAAATTTCATAAATTGAATTGAACTCATCATTAAAATGTGAATACAAGTCTTTTAAGTTTCCTTTAACGAAACTATACCAACCGAAGACTGCAAACAGTACCAGTTCCACCACTACAATTTTTTTTAATCAGAGGGCACTCTATTTTGTGATTCTTACACAGAGGGCACTATATACAAATTTTATTTGTCTCACACATTCGACAACAAAAAGATTGGCAGGAGTAGCAGTTTGGTTTTACAGAGACCATGGCTAAATGACAGATCATAGGTTTTCATCCTGCATGATCAGCCTATTGGACACTTCTGCGAAAATTTCAGTGATATTCAGTATTAGCACATGCTTAGGGAAGAGTTAAGAGTGTCCAATTGTTTCTATTTGACTTTGCGGTTAAGGCAGGGGTGCCGCAACCTACAGCCATAATATCGGCACTGGTTCGAGCGGCAAGCTCGCCTATGGTTCTAGAGGTGGAACAAGTCTTCTCGGATAAGGACTATAAACCATAGCCCAAGTGTACACAATTAATACATAGACAAGCAAGGGGCTATCCCAGTGTACTGGTCCATACAGCCCATTAGGTCCAATGCAGGAATACCTACGTAAAAGTAAAAAGGGAAATCAGCCTGGTTATTCTTCATGAGCATAATTTGCTCAGCTCTAAAATTACTAGACTTAAAAGGGAACTACTGTAGAAAGCTGATATATGGGAATTTCTCGTATGTCATTAGTAATAGAATCAATTTAAAATCAATTTTTTATGAAGTTATAGGCCATTACGATTTACCTCTTTAGCAGCATGACGTCAGAGTAAACTCCTCTTGTAACCAAAAATCTTGAAGCGCCGCACGCTAAATTGGCAAAACTTTATAAAAGAATTGCCAAAAAAACTATTTTAAAGTTGATTCTGTTAATCGTGACATCAAAAATCTCCTCTAGAAAAAAAATCATCTTTCTAGTTCCCTTTTAAGTAATTTGACCAAGAGGCATGTTAGTAGGCTGTTTGCATTGACAAGGCAAATGGTAAAGTTGACAGAAAAACTCCAATCTGAATAAGTCTTAACATTGTCATCACCACAAGTATAATAATCCCTATCATATTATAAGATACATCAGTGGTGGTACCAGTGGGTAGTCCGTCGCCTGAGGCCACAACAAGGTTGTTAGACCAAAAATATTACTTTGCCTATTCAAATAACAGTATTATGTATATGTATAACAGTACATTACATTGATATGCACTGAAATTTCTAAAATTTAGTAGCAAAACAAGGGGGAACGTGCCCCTGGTTCCCCCTACTAGATCCCCGCGTGTTTGTATTGCCAATTCCCAATATTATGGTCTAAAAGCACAATTTTGGGTTATATAGTAGTAAACCCATAAAACCCTACTAGGGATTGTTATTCCAGGAACCCAGTGGCGTATCTAAAAATCTCGAAATGAGGTGCTCATGGGGGTTTTTAACTACTTTCAAGTGATTTTTTTTTTTGGGGAGGGGGATAATTTTTTGGAAGGTTGTGCGCCCCCGTGCACCCCCTAGATACGCCACTGCAGGAACCTGATTGAGAATCTAGTAGGCCCCTTGGTTCGAACCCCAGGTCGGCCAAGTCAGACACCCTGTCAGCATTTTTGGGGTCGTAATTCACTCACATTGTTTATCCGACCAAAAAAACTCCTCACACAAAGCTTATAAATTTTATACCCTCCCTAATATCAGATACTCACATTGTTGGGGTGGCACATTCCGGGGGGTGGTCCATCTATCATTTCTGCGATCTGGCATGTGATCCATACAACACATACAAACTAAATGATTAGCATTTGCACCGCATGAATATTGAGGAGCAACTGGCATCGGTACCACTTGTCCAGAAGGTGCAACTCTGCTTGTCGTTTGAGTTGATGCCTGTGCACTTGCTGACGTTTCAGCTGTAGCTGTTGTTGTAGCTATAGCTGCTGTTGATACAGCGGGTGTGGTTGATGTAGTTGATGAAGCAGTGGTATTTGGTGGACGTCTTTGATGTGGAGGAGGAACATAATTTGGACACTGTTTGCAGACTGGTCCTGGCCTGTATAGAAAGTTTTAATGTATAAACACCTTGTATTTTTTGCCTGGACAAACGTAGCACTGACAAAAATAAACCCCGTTCATATATTAATTTGTTAATGTATATAGAAAAAAAAGTCTTGAGGGTTTGAAGGTCGATATGCTTTTGGTAAAGCATGCGGTATATGATGCAATTGATGGTATTTGGTCCTGGGAAAAACAGAACAAAATATTGGATTGGATTTCCAGAACCAAACACCATAAACTGAGATATGCAGCATACTGTAGTATGTAGTCATTATCAACTTGCTCAGCCTCTGCTTGGCTACATGAAATCAAAAGTCTTTTTCTCAGAACTTACTCAGTGGGAGTGCCACTCAGGTGAAAATTGTTCTGGGATAGACTGCATAAAAACCTAGTCCAATCTTATAATCCTGGAAAATTTTTAGTACTATACAAAACAGACAAACATGAAAGAAAGTTGTTCGTTGGATGCCATTACTGAACAATAGAGCATCCATTAAACATCAAAGATCTGGCCTAAAAAAACTGTTTGTTTCCCTCCAGCGCCCGCCCCTCGATTATGGAAAAATAGGGAAGGCATTTTTTAAAAAAGATTTTTTTCTCAATTTTTTGTTCACAAATTTTGAACATGAAAGTTGTCTAAATTTGGTGTCTGATGGTATCGCCATTCTAGGCCTAAATTCATTGCAATTTATCAATTATGGGTTATTTTTATTCAGTCTGATGAATACCCTTTGAAAAGTATAATATAGTGAGACAGGTTTAATTGCAAGCATTGCGATTTAATATGTTGATTTTGGTGACAGTAGAGAAAAAAACTAAAGAAAAAAAAAATCTTTTTGCGCCTGCCCCTCCAATACAATTTTCAGCATTAAAGGGCTAATATTTGTTTAGGCATAAGATTACAGCATTTTAGAGACAAATAATACACCACAGGCTTTGATCACCCAAAATAATTCACGATGACTTCAAGTCGTCCTCACATTGACTCTAAATATACTAAACCCACACCATTACATATCTTGAGTAAAATTTACCTTCCAAATATTGAACCAAATCCAATGTTCAAATATCTGTATAAAAAAAACAAAAACATGTATTAATTTTTATTAAGCTAAGATGTGCTAGTAACAAAGTGGGACATGATTAACTATTATAACAGAAGATTGTGCTCATGGTCGATTAAGAAATAATTACATAATTATTGCTTTAAATTATCTACTTTTTTACATTATTATAGTATCAACTATCATTGGTTTAATGAAGTGATTAAATTCAAGACATTCTAATTTGTAAAATCATCATACTGGTTGATAAATATATTTATATAGTGTCTTCTCTTGTGAACCACTTAATGAACTCATTCCTACAATATTCTACTCCCCCAAGGGTCCCATTGTTTCAGTTTACTGCCAATCACTACACATGTCTGGAAGATTGTGCTCATGGTCGATTAAGAAATAATTACATAATTATTGCTTTAAATTATCTACTTTTTTACATTATTATAGTATCAACTATCATTGATTTAATGGAGTGATTAAACCCAAGACTTCTAATTTGTAAAATCATCATACTGGTTGATAAATATATTTATATAGTGTCTTCTCTTGTGAACCACTTAATGAACTCATTCCTACAATATTCTACTCCCCCAAGGGTCCCATTGTTTCAGTTTACTGCCAATCACTACACATGTCTGGACCACAGGGGAAGCCCCCTGTTCCTCCCTCAAAGTATGTCCTGGGTTCATGACAAGGTACTGTATATCTAAAGGAGCATCTTTACGGTTAATGCATTAAAAAATTAGATGTTTAACAACTGATTATGTAATATTCACAGTGGTGAGGTGTCATGAAAAATGTATAACGTACCTATAAAGGCTATCTTCGCAACGATAAATGACTGGCTAGTGATACATGAGGCTCACAATGTAGTTTTATACAGAAAGAGGTAATCATTAGTACTAAGATTATGTAATACTCACGGTTGTGAGGTGTCAGAGTCGTCGCTGTCACTGATGTACACATAACTATTGCCTGTATCATCATCTGAATTATTGCATCGTGGGTAAAGCTAAAATCAAAACAAATTATAAAATCTTAAAAACTTTTTTAAACAATATATAAAATACATTATCATGGTAAGTATTTGGAGGGCCCCTATAGCAGTCATACAATTCTAGGAATCACAATAACAATGATAATATTTATAATGATGATAAAATTATACTAATCTAATGAGAATATTAATAATAAAAATAATAATAATAGTAATAATGAGTGTTGCCTAGATTAAGTCCACTTCAAGCCCTGTACCTCATTGCTCTAGAGCCTAAAACCTGTGATGTTTCACCTAATTTAGGTGAATTTGTAATATATTTTTCATGTTGGTGTCATTTGTCGCTGTTTTGACTGACAGGTTTCCAACTCCTACTCATCAATTTTCAGAGAAAAATCACACCGTGGGGAGGCTATGCTTATAATGTGCAATGTAAAAGAAGCATTTTTAGTTGACTTTGTTTTTTGTGAAGGCTGCACTTGGTATTACAGTTGCTGTTAACTAACTTTTGTGGTAACTAGCCTTATTACCTGAAAAGTGAAATATTAATTATGCAAATGAACAATTAGCATATTCACACACATACTAAAGACCATAGGCTCTATCTTCTTATTACCTTTTTGCATTCTGCCAAGTTTTAAACAAATCAAACTTGCCAAAGTTTAGTTATTAAGGTAACTAGCCTAAATTACATGATTAGTGAAATAATAATTATGCAAATGAGCAATTAGCATATTCACACACGTACCAAGAACCATAGGCCCACCTTCTTATTACCATCTTGCATTCCTCCACGTTTGAAACCAATCAGACTTACCAAACTTTAGTTATCATGGTAAATAGCCTAAATTACCTAATGAATGAAATATTATTTATGCAAATGAGCAATTAGCATATCCACACACGTACCAAAACAATAAGCTCTATCTTCTGATTACCATCTGTATTCTGCCGAGTTTGAAACCAGTTGGACTTGCCAACCTTTAGAACATAGGCAAAAACAATAGCCTCCCCGGAACTTCGCTCCTTTGGGCAGGCTTATAATTTGCCACTAAACAGATATTACAAAAAATAAATAATAATATTTCTATTCTCACCATATCATTTGTTAATTGGTTTTTTGCATCCAATTCTTTGATTTCTTCCTCAGATCTTTGTTTATCTGTCAATGAATACTTTATAAGATGAACAATTCATGTCAACTGATTAATTTATACGTAATAACTCAAAATTAGTGTTGTTTTGAAACCATCATTTAATGTTCTGTAAAAGCAGAAAAAGATTTACAATTGGATTATATTTGTAATTTCAAGTTTTAAAATGAAATTAAACAGCAATATCCATGGCAAAGTTCACTTAAAAACATTCCAAAAAGGAGATGCGATGCTGTGGCTAGGATGTTTGCCTTCAGACTCAGACTCAAACTCAGACTCAGACATGTTTATTTGATCCAAAATTAAAAAAAGCAAATACAGAAAATATAACAGTATCACAATACTGAAAATATTAAAAAGAAATAAATGGATCTGAAACCCTTATTATGGCTGCAACAGCCGCTAGCATAAGAGCCACCCATGAAAACTTCAAAAATTTAATAATATAATAATAATAATAATATTAATAACAATAACAATAATAATAAAGATAATAATAGAATCATTACTATTATCATTCATTAATGAATAATAGTGTTAAAAATGATAATAAAATAATAATGAATAATAGTGCTTCTAATACCAAGTTCTTGTTCCTGTGTTCAAATCCTTAAAAATGTATTATAGGTGATTTTAAATTGTGTTTCTTGGAGGGTTTATTGTTTGTGGTCTGGTGTTTGCAACATGTGTACAGCTAAAACATGCCTCAAAGCTTAACACAATTGTTTATTGAGAAAAAGAGGCTTGGGCTGGTCTGGGTAATGGTAATAATATGTTCCTGTTTGCCAAGACTTAATAAATGTTATTCTACCTTATCGTCTTCATATTAAAGAATAGAAAACTTTAAGCTTATCCAAGTCCTAGCTCAGAAAATTTGATAAAATCTTGGAGAAATTCTAATTCTTGGAGAAAATGCCTGGGACATGAACCATAAATCCTGGGGACTCCACAGGATATTGTTTAATACTCTGTTATTAAAAAACTATGTATAATGGTCACTAAACTATTAAAAACTTACGTGGATGTTTTTTCAAATATACTTCAACTAGATTTTTTACAATGTGGTTGTAACTGATTCGGTTCACCTTAACGCGACACTAGAAAAAAAGATAAAAATAAATACTTTAGCTGATTATGGACACATATAATTTAAGTTAATGACTGGATTGGGGAATTTCTAGCAGCACTCTATTGGCTGTCTGCATCCTTAACAGTCAGATTGTAATTGATTAACTTGAGTTACAAAATTAACTCTTAAATTTTTGATGTCAATAATTTATAAACCAATTAATATAACATTACTCTTTTAATCAATATATATTAATGCTTGCAGTACACCGCATAGATAGTTCTGAAAAGAACTGTTGTTGGTTGAGAATGTTTTTTTAAACTAAGTACTCTTAGTTGGGAAAGCCACTTGAAAGTGCAATTCTTTGAATTGATCCCACTTATGGCTACCCTCAGGTGCTGATTGTACTGTTGTTTTATGTATATTTTTGTGTTTTTTCACCTGGAAATTGAATAAAATAAAATAAAAATAAAAATGTCTCTTTCTTTTCTATCTACATGGTGTACTGCAAGCATTAATATATACTGTGTTATTACTTCGCCATGCAAACCTTCAAACAATATTGTAATCAACAAATTTACTTACAGATGGACAATCTTTAGAATGGATCATCCACGATGAGTAACATGCTGCACAAAATGTATGCATACAAGGCTGGAGGCTGGAGGGTAAAGAAACGACACTAAAATTAATTTGCACAAAACTATGTATCACCAAAATTAATATGCCTCTAAATTAATATGCATCAAAATGAATATGCATCTAAAGAAATGGTAAATCCTATTATGGATACCAACACATGAATTTAGAAAAAGCAAGTTATTGAGTTTGTATGTATAGGGTACCACAGTCGTGTTGTCACGACGCCAGGTGGCGCTCTCTGTTGTCAACAGACGTTGGTTACTGTTCATTACGCCTGAATGACTTCATAGGCTTTCTGGAATAGGCATTTTAAAATCTAATATTTTATCATCAAAATGTACTAAAAACACAAAAGCTCGTATTATATTAGTTATCGAAAACACATTTAATCATCAATTAAAATTTACAAAGAAAAAGTAAAATACAAAATCTTAATTATTACGTTAGAAATTGGGATCAATGGTTTGTCAGTGGAGAAAATGGAGTCCAGTTGAATTCTTTTTGCAACGATAGCAACGGAGTAGTATCAAGTGGTATCGTGATGTAACACTGTAGTACTCTATGTGTGTATTAGGTATGTATATTAAGTACGATGAAAACCAATTTTGGGCAAAGAACATAGAAAACAAGATAAATAAGATTAATCTTTATTTCAGTGTGAAGAACATTTCATATTTGTATATACATGTGTATACATCAATGTCAACTGAAATCTTGGTCAAATTGGCTAAAATATTTGGCAGAGAGCATTGCTATCACTAAAATGGCCTGGCAGTCAAAGTGTTAATTCATAACAATCAAGACAGATCTTTTCTTCATATTTTAGTTCATTTCTTAATGAATTAAGTAGCATATTATTCTCGAATTGGGGACTTAATTGGAACTATAGGATATAAATGTGAAGTGATAGTTTGCATTTTTGGTTCTCTCGGTAACATGCATAGGCATTTCTGCCCAGGTTAAGTGCCCTGGGGTTTAATAAGGAAATGCGCAGAGCATATGTCAATAATGTATTGTAAGTGCCATGATTGGTTCATGGTTTAAATGGCAAAGTAGATAATCAATAATAAATATCGTACCTAAAAGCTTTAAATACCAAAATAAATATATAGTCCTTTATGTTAGAATTTGCTTAAGTGGGCCAAACTGCCTTGGTAGATCCGATTTGGAAAGAAACAAATAAATGTTATCAATAATTTAACATACACAAATACTTTATAAATTATTTAATTATCTGTGTTGGCCTCTTTCTATTGTAGGGTGTGAATTTTCTATGGATATTATAATTTATCTGTGTTAAATGCATGACTATGTATGTGGAATTTGTAAACTGTGTTAGAAAAGTTAGTCACATAATTGATTTGATTGGTGCCATACAGTAAGTATGCAAAAATTATTTGTGTAGTTTGGAAAATGTGCAAGAAAATCTTGGGTAGTGACCTGTAATAGCAAATTATATCACTATTGTTGAAAAAGAACTTTGAGTATAATTATTCAACATGTTTATGTGAACTACACTAATAATACTTTCCAGGTAGAGAAGCAGGGGGCATGGTGCATATGTTTGTCAATGTTTCAATAACAAGGGAAACACCCTTTTTTTTACTAAATTTATAATAAACATCAAAAGTACCACCATTCATCTAAGTTTCAGCAACTCACCTTACTGCATTATGTAATATTTCATAACATATACTACAAAGTAATGTTTCTTCCATATCATCCCTTTGATTAACCACTGAGGGACCAGCCTCATTATCCTTGTCACTAGCAGGCTCACCAGAGGGTCCTTGACCAGATGATCCTTCACCAGGTGTAATCCTTGCTAATACAATATCTTTTGACTGTCCAGTTTCTTGTGCAGTCTTTTGATCTTCCGGTATTGCTTCTCCTAATCGCATTTTCTTTACTGGCGGTGGGCAACCTATGGCAGCATTAGGCACCTTAAAGTAAAAATATAATAAATCATTATCAAGCAAAATGGTAATAAGGCCAAAAACACACATTTCCTTTTAGTTTTAAGGCTACATAACACTTAACATTGTTAAAAAATGCATATTGGATATATCAAGAAACCAATGGTTAGAAAACATTAAACAAAAATCCTTATTGCCTGATTATGCCAAACTTAAACCCACACTAGATCTAGAATGGTATCTTTCTTGATATATCTGATTTTAAAGGTGTTGGCCTCAAGTTCAAGCTGAGGTCTAATACACTTTCACTGGACAGAAAAACAAGTAAATGGTCAGGTGAAAGTTCAGGGCATTGTACAATATGTAACAGTTGGGATATTGAGGACACTAAACACTTTCTTTTTAATTGTAGTGCTTTAGAGGATGTAAGAAACAAAGAACTTAACACTCTGAAATCTGATTTAGAATTATGTGAAGTTCCCAATATCTGGCAAATATATCAACCCTCAGACTTAGATAAGAAACTTCCCTTTGTTCTTGGAGGTGGAAATACATTCCTAAGTGCAGATGCTCTAAGAGCTTTTGATATATACTGTAAAAATTATTCCAAGATTGCATGGTGCAAGTGTTCAGAGATTAAGTCTGTTCAAACTTAATGTCAAATCAAATGTATTGTTGCATTGAAATGTTTATTATGTTTATTTTTTTTTTATCTTTGTTGTAGTTTAATGGAATTTTTCGACTTTAATATTTGTTATATAGTATATATATATATATATATATATATATATATATATATATATACACACACAATATATATCTTCAGAATAGAAGATAACAATACATACCTGCTCCTCCTCAAGTACTCTAACTGGACTAGCGACTGTGCTCGAATCGATGTCATATTCTAATGTACAATCTGGTAAAAATAATATAAATTTCAAAGCAAGTGAATGAAAAAATCATGAATGAATAGTTTGAGTATTTGCATGGTTAAGAAAAAAATAATTTAAAAATGTTTGGAGTACAACCTCTGCCAAGCTGATAACTTTTTGAAGATAATGATTAATTTTCTAATTTCTGGCCATGCAAAAGAATCCTGTTCAGAGAATTCATTCAATTTTTAATTGTCTATTAAAATTACTACACTATTTAAGTCCATCACCATAAATTAGTGAGACCTCACTTGCCTGTTTTTTGCAAACCACTGTCATTAGATTCTTCCTTCTGCAGCTCCACCATGTCTTGATAGAGATATGCTACATCTGAAATTAATAAAATGTATAAACAAACATACAAGTGACAGTCATGTGAAGACAATTAATCATACTGAAACACAACATAATATTAATGTGTTATTTATACAGAGAGTTGTCTTTTTTATCAAGTAGATTAGTCAATTTTGGAGGGCTTTTTCAGTCAGCCTTTTGGCTGTAAGGGCTATTCTCATAAAATGTTTAATAAAAACTCAATGCCTTCAACCACCAGTCACATGGTTGAGCAATTTTTCCAGTGTACTTGTGTAATTACTAGTACATATTAAATTACTGTAAATATAACAGCCTAGGGTATGTGTCGACATACAATTTATAGAGAGAAAGTATATCTAGAGCGTATTTTAGTCCAGAGTATCAATACAAAACAAGACTACTGCATAAGAAGTCACTTACTTTTTAAGAGATAGTATACTTACTACTATCAGGGCTATCCTTCTTATGAACAATTTGAATCTCATCTCCATGTGTCAATCTGTGTTTCTATGTTAGGAAGAAAACATCCACTAAAAATTTTAACATTTGTTGTTTCTATGTTTAAAAAAAAAACATTCACTAAACATTTGAACATTCGTTGTTTCTATGTTCGGAAAAAACATTCACTAAAAATGTTAACATTTGTTATTCAATGGAAGGAATTCACGTCAACTCGGCCCCAAGTGACTTGGGGCCGAGTTGACTGGGGCCGAGTTGACTTGGGGCCGAGTTGACCTGCTTCCAATGGAAGAACTCTGAAGATAGTTGTACACACTTTATTCATTCATCCAATACTGTTTACTCAACTTCTTAATGACTCAATTAACTAAAGATAATTACTAGTATAATATTAAATGTCTGTAGTTATATGAGTGACTTATACTATGCTCACAAATATAGAGTTGTATTAAACATACTATATTATATATTTGTTTGTACATTTCATTTATTAATTTCAAAATTAAACAGAAATTGGATCTGTTTACCTGTCCCTTTGTAATCCTTGTCACATGATTTAACATAGTACCATTTGTGCTGTAATGAGAAAGGAAACAAAAATAACAACTTTAGTTGTATGGTCACAACTCTCACATTTGGCCGGCCTATCGTTTTGTTCTCAAATGACACAAAACCATACAACATTTTGGTCAGCCACTGACACCAACCAATTGGCCCTGGCCACTAGCTTAAAAATTTGAATATGAAACTACTGTATAACTATATCTTCTTCTGATTTACCTGCTATCTTGTAACCAAACCACATTATCAGAATCTTTAAAAATACAACAATGACGTCCTGAGATGAGGTTATTTTCTATACGTAGATCACAATCTGAAAGAAAGCACAACAGGAAATTAACCTAGATTTTATAATTAAAAAGAGAACAAATCACAATTTTCTTTAGTTAGGCCTAGGACTTGGGCTACACATGAGCTCAACCAAGTCCCAAAATAGGTCCAAAATGTACTGTTCAAATACAAGATAAAAGATTCTTTTATTGTCACTAGCACACAAAATACAAGTAAAATTCTTCTTCCCGATGAAAAAATTAGTATAGAGTTAGGCCTAGACAAAAAATAAACGAAAGACACATAGAATAAAACAGAATATACAAAAAGATACAATTATTTACAAGAGTTACCCATCGCACCTGATCCCCAATTTCTTCTAGGCTAGGCCTAACTAACTAAGGCCTAAATACTATGGAACGCTGTTACTGCCTTTGGTGGCTTTTTTCCGTTCGGCGCATTTGCTATTCGGCCCTTTTAACATTACGTTCGGTGCTTTTACATTCCGTTCGGTGCTTTTTACATTACGTTCGGTGCTTTTAACATTACGTTCGGTGCTTTTACATTACGTTCGGTGCTTTTACATTACGTTCGGTGCTTTTTACATTACGTTCGGTGCTTTTAACATATGTTCGGTGCTTTTTACATTACGTTCGGTGCTTTTACATTAAGTTCGGTGCTTTTTACATTACGTTCGGTGCTTTTTACATTACGTTCGGTGCTTTTATTAACATTACATTCGGTGCTTTGAAACATTACGTTCGGTACTTTTTACATTACATTCGGTGCTTTGAAACATTATGTTCGGTGCTTTTATCATTATGTTCAGTGCTTTTACCATTACGTTCGGTGCTTTTGCCACACTTATGGATCTTTTATCATTTGGTGCTTTTTAGTTTTACCTTTCGGCCCTTTCATCATTACGTACGGTTCTTTTATCATTCTGTGCTTTCATGAGCTTTGACTTTGGGTCAAGTGGAAAAAAATCAACGGCTGTGGGAACGAGTCTAGTGGAACTTGCGCGCTCCTTCTCTCTTTCTTCTCTTTCATTTTTTTTTCTTTTCTTCTTTCAACTTCTTAGTTTCATATGCCTCTCTAAATGCTGTCTCTTATACACATCTAGATGTGTATAAGAGACAGATTGCATTGTATGCTGAGCATCTGCCCTCCTGATACTCCTGTCTCTTATACACATCTAGATGTGTATAAGAGACAGGTATGTTTACAACTCATAGCTGTTTTTTATTGCTGTCTTTCTATATTTTTTATTTATCGAAGCAAACGTGGAATCTTCTTCTAGTATGTTTACAACTCATAGCTGTTTTTTATTGCTGTCTTTCTATATTTTTTATTTATCGAAGCAAACGTGGAATCTTCTTTTTTTAATATATATATACATATACATACACATATACATATATATATATATACATATATATATATATTATATTTATATATATGTATATATATAAATAATAATAATAATAAATAATAATAATGCTGTAAAGGCAAATATACAACATGGTGGGCCCTAAATAACAATTAAAATGGTATCAGAATGCCCGCAAGACGGAAACAAATTGGCCGTCGATCGGGAGTTCTAAATGTGGAATTGTGGATTTTCTCCTCAAGAGATGGGTGTTCTCCCTGTACCCTCCCACTGCACTGGCTCCACCCCTGCTTCACGAATTGCCTTTTTCCAACTTGGGACACCTGCAAATGTGTATCTTTGTTGTAATATAAATGCTAAGTTTTTATTATTTATTTGAGGTATATTTATTTAAAAATTCAACATCAAAAATATACATAGCAGCAACAAAGGCTGAATTGCGTATGAATTAAGAAGTAAGAAGAATTAAGAAGTAAGTATAAAATATATATTATATAATATTAAAAAGGTAGACAAAATAAAAAGACAAAAAAATAAATACCAATATCAAAATACAAGATAACCACGGAAGGAGCATTTGTAAAACGACCGGACAGTAAAGGGAGGGGAAAATAAATCAATCAACCGGAGAGGGAAAATTTTGAGTTTAACTTTTATTTATTATGTAAGCCAAAAATGGGATCTGACTTGTTTGGAATCATTTGGTTACCAGTAATTAATTAATTTTCTTTTACTTAAATAAGCCTGCTTCTTCATATCCGGAATAAAGAAGAGTTCCCCCCTAGTTATTTTTTTTTTCAATACTAGGTCTATAGTGATAATCTTATATTTCTATTTGCCCTAATATACCACCAAAATCATGTGGAAAAAACTTTCCCTTTCCCTTTCAAACTTAGGGACAAGAAAATGTAGATCCAGGTTTTCTAATACTGTTTTGATTGATCGAGACATTTTTGTTTTCATTAGTTATTATTATTTTATCACTAAGATAATCACATGTCGAATATGCTTTGTTACGCTCGATTTTCCACTAGGCTCATTCCCACAGCCGTTGATTTTTTTCCACTTGACACGATGTTAAAGGTCATGAAAGCACCGAATGATAAAAGAACCGTACGTAATGATGAAAGGGCCGAAAGGTAAAAGCACCAAATGATAAAAGAGTCGAAGTGCGGCAAAAGCACCGAACGTAATGTTAAAAGCACCGAACGTAATATTCAAAGCACCGAACGTAATGTTAAAAGCACTGAACGTAATGTTAAAAGCACCGAACGTAATGGTCAAAGCACCGAACGTAATGTAAAAGCACCGAACGTAATGTAAAAGCACCGAACGTAATGTAAAAGCACCGAACGTAATGTTAAAAGCACCGAACGTAATGTAAAAAGCACCGAACGTAATGTAAAAGCACCGAACGTAATGTTAAAAGGGCCGAATAGCAAATGTGCCGAACGGAAAAGAGCCACCAAAGGCAGTAACAGCGTTCCATAAAATACTAATTTTAAACACATTTTCCAATAAATTCGTGGTAATTCGTTATCATCAAGCATGGCATATCCATAGGCCTAGACTTGCGCTAATGCCTGACAAATGTATGATCACGCATGTGTTTCTGCAAAATGCGTGTTTCTTTTAAAATAACTTTGAAATTCTATTCCTAGGCTAGGCTAGGCCAGTTCTCCAGGCCTAGGGCCTAGCCTCTAGGCCACAGTCTAGCCTATAGCCTAAATACTCTAGTTACTACTAGTAGTAGTAGGGCCTAGGACCTAGTCTAGACTCATCAATATTACTTGCCTTTGGAGCGACCGATGGTGAAAGATGCGTTACGAATATATAAAATAGGAGCATTCATATCAGTTGAGCAAACCAACTGAGACCAATATGAATTCGCATCGTCATCCATTTTTTTACATATAAACCCTACTATTTTTCGAGTGTTATTTAAAATTTGTTCTTGATACGACTTTGTTACCGAGCTGACTCAGCTGAGGTTTGGAGGCTAAACGTGCGTGACCCTGACCTGACCATGACATACGAGTGTTCATTCATGCAGAAAACTCGAATTGAGCTCGAGCGAGACCAGACTGGACACGTTCGAAAGCAGGGGAAGCGCTAGCGGGCTCCCGGGGAGGTGGAGGACCCCCATTGGGGACCCCTGCACCCCATTTGGATCCCCGGGCCTCTACCCCTATTTCCAGCAAGGTCGTCGGGGAAAAATCAAATCTCGGTCGCCGAAAGTAGGCCTAGGCTACATCATCAAGCATGTCTGTATACCACTATTAGCCTTCCCCATTGCTACCATGGAGGTATAAAAATATTTTGTACCTCCATGGTGCGATTGCGATCGTATGGGTTCCAATGGTGCGTCAGCTCTTCCCCGACAGTGGGTGGCACCCACGACAGGGAGTTAGTACCCCCGACAGGTGGATTAGTACCCCCGACAGGTGGATTAGTACCCCCGACATCCTTTTTAAATAAAGAATCCCATATTTAAATTTACACAAAATTTTATTATCTTTTAATTTAAAAAAAATCCCCGACAAATTTAATTATTCCTCGACAAGGGGGTGTGAGGA